TACAGGGTGGAGGATTAAGTGGATGTATGAAATGTCTTTCAGATGATTCAGTTAAACCCTTGTACATCTGTTGCTACATGCATGTTAGACTGTATGCTTTGTTGAAATAACAGAGCTCTGATTCATGAATCCCAATTTTGTCCTTGAAATTGGGTGCTTGGAGTAGTTCAAATCTTGAAATAGGACTTGTTTTTAGGTTGTGCATGCTGATACCTTTTAGAAATTATAAACTTGAGCTATGGGAAATGCCACTGATTTTTTTTTTTTCTAGTCATGCCTCATTAGTTAAAACATTAAAAAATTATTGTTCTTGCATGGTCATAGACTACTGTAAAATGTCTAATTTTCACTGGGTTTAAATTTCCCTGATTTACCATTTCAGGCATATTCAGTGGGTTTTAAATTCACGGTTTCATCATTTAGATAATGTGTTCTATGCTAAATCTTACATATTCACTGGGTTTTAATTTAACACATTTTCCAGTCTGCGAAATAAGCAAAATTAAAACCCAGTGAATAATTAATCCTTGTACAGTACCCTGTGGATTATTAGACATCTGCAAATTAAGTTGTGTTTTTCTTTCCTGTCAATAGTCATGTTCACATACATCTATTTAGTACTGGTTGGTATGTGGCTGCGTTACAGTATTACCCTAAATTTCATTTATTGTATGCTGGAACATTAAAATACAACTTACATTTTTATTTTGGCCATACATCTGTCATTTATGCAATTGATTGCAATACTAAAATTGCAAATATGGTAATTATTTGATAACCCCCCCTCCCCATAGTTGTTTGCAAATGGATGGACCCTAGTTGTGAAGTTAAAAAGCATTCTTTCATAGTGAAGCTTGACTTCACCCCACCAATAGCAATCTTAGTACATGTCACAGGGAAAATTCTTGTTAAAGGTAATTTTTCAATGAAACGCATAAATTGTTGACTGCAAAAAAGAGTATTATTTACAAAATAATTGTTATCAGAATCCTGCTTCATTACATGCGCATATCAGAAGTGTGGTTGTAATAGAAGAAATACAGTGGAAATTCAAACAAACACTGTTAGCACACGCACTACGTGAATTTCTATTATAATATAGTGTACACATTCCATTATATTCAACATAATTATATTTTAATACAAACTCTCGTGCCTGTAACATTCAACAATGCAAATAATGTGTTTGATTATAAAGTGGGTAGAGTTGAAGTGTTTGACCATCCTGGCTGCCCGCCCGCCTGCTATGACACATGTGCCTGTACAAAATTTAAGGTGTGGTCCTAGGGACTTTGAACTCATTGCATTTGTGTGTAATAGTGTCAGATTATATTCAATTCATTGTGGCTGTTTTACTGTTAATAATTTTCTAGTTAACCTGCATCTTGCTGTTAGGCGTTCCGGTGTTAGGCAGTATGGTGTTAATAGAGAAAAGCAAATTTTTCTTTTTAAAAACAGGAAAGGGGAAGTCTAAAATTAAAAAGAAACAATCTGTGCTAGAAACATAAAGCGACCCTAAGGAAAATAAAATTTGAATACAAGATCTTGTTTTATTTAGCCTTTTGTCGAATGAAAATGTTGCCCTTTTGAGCTTAGTGTATCTGTCAGATAAAATGGGAACTTAATGTCATGGGAAAATTCTAAATGTCATATTTTGCTGTAAAACAGTAAATTTAAAAGGAAATGCTGATGCATTTTGTTTGAAATTTATGACACTTTGAAAAACTCTAATTGCTGATGTCCGTTGAGTAATCTGAATTGCTGCTAATTTGGTAACACCTAAGTTGACCAATCAGAGAGCAGCTTGTCTGTTGACAGTTTTTTTTTCGACATATCAAATTCTTCCTTGTATAAATGCTTTGATTCAACAGCAGCTTTACTACTACTTCTTCTGTAGTTGTATTTTTGAATGGGTACAACCAAAATAGTGACAATTCATAATTTGTTTGTAGCTGTCATTTACTTCATTAAGGGCATCTCCAATGTAAGCATGCATGTGTCCTAGTCTGATATGTTTGGTTACCTTTTAACATACCTGTTACGTATAGAAGCTTGTCTTTTAAAACAAATCAAAATCGCATGCATTATAGTGTAGATCGTACAATGTATGACTTGCATTGTATAATTACCATACCTCTGTGATTTGCTTATGTGCTATTAATAGAGAAAATACGGTACAGTAGTCTTTGCATATTTAGCAGAAGCTTAGCTGTTCTGCTTCTTGTTATCGATTTAATTATCACTTAACTGTAGCTACTGGAATAAGGCAGTGATTAACATGTACATATATCTGATGGGTCATCAGCAATCTCACCAGTTTCAAGATGACAATGAATTTCTCATTAATTTAGGGCTGTGTAAAATGACACCTTGTGAATGTGGTACAAGATCCCTTTGATTAAGTCATCTTAGTTATTTGTTCAGTGAAAATTGACATGTATTTTACAGATCAAGTTTTCTAATTTTGGTGTAGAATTACAGCTAGATTGAAGAGGGTGCAAACAGTCCCCTGTATGGAATTAATTGCTGTCTTCAATTACTGGCTTTTACTTTCAATCCTATTTCTGGATTATTTTGCAGTGCTTCCTCAGATATTTCTCTGACATACCCTGCTGTGTATCAGATCTTGAAATTTACAGTTTGGGTGTACATACAATGACATTTATTTATCTTCAAAATTTGTTAAGATTCTGATGGACTTCCCAATGGACAAATAGGGTTAACAGCTTAGCAGATCGGTAGCCCAGGTTTAGCAGATCGGTAGCCCGGGTTTAGCAGATCGGTAGCCCGGGTTTAGCAGATTGGTAGCCCGGGTTTAGCTGATTGGTAGCCCTGGTTTAGCTGATTGGTAGCCCGGGTTTAGCTGATTGGTAGCCCTGGTTTAGCTGATTGGTAGCCCTGGTTTAGCAGATCGGTAGCCCTGGCTTAGC